GGCTGGATTCGTTCGTATTCTGTTTGGCGTTTACACGCATTGACATGCGCGACTTCGGTCGATGTTTGTGCTTACGTACTAGCAAGGGGCCAAGCCTCTTTTACTGGTTCGCCAGTTATTTTGCTGTGGACTACGGTCCAGTTCCCGAATTAGCTTTCCCTTCGGGGGGAGTGCATCAAAATGGTTGGCGCTCACCGTGCACGGCGTGTGTGGGGCCGTGTACCTCCCCTACATTTTTTTTAAATAAATGTAGGAGAGCGAAGCCCTTGTATCGGGTATTTTGTATAAATATATTTTGAGCCTTTTCCGAGCGGGAAGGGATAAATAATATTAAGTTAATAATGTAAGCCTGATACAAGTGGAATTGGGACGTTTTATGTTTTTAACCTTTCTCGAGCCCTGTCTTCGTGAACGGGGTTCACTTAGCTTATAAGGCACTACCAACAGCTTTCAATTGCTCTAGCGAATATTCATTCTTCCAAAAGACACCTAAAAGAACTAAGTTACTAAACAAACACAACGTAAATAAGGGTCCTAACCAAGACGATCACGCCAAAATATTACAAACGGCCTATTATTAAACCTTTAGAAAGATCATTTAGAAAGATCTAAACATAATTTATTAATCCTGGTCACATATATATAATTTTTAATATAAAGGGGAATATAATACATTTAGTATTTTATATATTTATTACTATGAGAGGGGGAGAGCGTTACAGTATCTTAGTGTTAGTAACATTAATAATGTTATAAGTTTAATTTATTTTATTTTATTTTAATCTTGCGCCTGTCTGAAAGCCTAACGAATAAATTTTTCATCTGAGCTAAGAAATTCTGAAATTTTTGATATTGCAGCAGCCTTGTAATGATATATTTTACTAAATACAGATACACTGACTCACTCCGGGCTCGGCCGCCGTCGTGAATGGATTATTGTATCACTTATTTACAGCGGCTCGTGATGAATAATATCGATGACTGTAAAAATACAAAATATTTCAAAAAGCAAATTTGATACATACTGAGATATTATTATTATTTTTATAGTCACAAATTTTCATTACAATATATTGTTTCGCTAAAAGTACGTATGATTTATATATAAATATACTTATACGTCTTGGACTTTATGGAGTGACCTGAAGGTGTACTTCGGTAACTGCTACTGGAACTCCTCGGAGAGTAGAACTAGGTGTGCCAAGTTTGGGTTCGTTTTGTTAGTTGTGATGAGCTCTTACCTCCGGACTTGATAGTGTCTTGCAGGTGTATTTTGATGAATGCTAAATTAAAATACTGGATATTACCAGATGAAAAACTTTTTGAAAACGAAATAAAGTTGATGAGAAAAAAATGATTAACGAGTCAGGTAAAAAAGACTAGTTTTGACGACAATGCCTGAGTACAAATTCCTAAAAATTAGACTAATATTAAAGTTGATTTCTGATCGTTTTAAGATAATTCTGTTAAAAGTTTTTACAATTAACAATAATAAAAAAATTGAATCTCAATAATAATTACATAGTAAAATTAAAAAAAAATATATTTTCTATGGTTGATTAAGAATTTTTTTCTAAATTTTTTCACGATCATATGAGCATTGTGAGTCGTGCACTTTGGATTCTCCAAACTTTTTTATTGATGTTTGACATAAACTTATCGGAAAATTAGAAGTAGTAGTAATAAGGTTATTAGTGTAAACTTGTGTGTATTTATAATACTTTAAAAATTCACGTATAACATGAGCGCTTAAGGTATGCACATTTGGATTTACCAAAAGTTTTTTTCTATTTGTATCAAGTCAATTTAAGTAATTGAAAATTAAGTACTCTGTGAAATTTTTATTCATAATCAATGGAATAGTTCGTGATACCATTGACGCAGTCTTTTTTACTTTTAATGAGATTTAAAAACACGTTTTTATATATGAAGCTTTAATATTTTCAGACATAACTATTAAAATTTTCGTGACGATCCCGGTTTCACAGCTCACAAGTAAATTAATACGCTCTTGTGAAAAAGTACCATTAATATGAAAAAAGCAAATATTAAACAGAGGTTTGTTTTTATTTTAACTATGAATACAACTGCATTGATAGAATCTTGAAAGTCATCTGTCTAAGCCGGTAAGCGAACCGATCTAAACGTAAATTTCGTAGTAAGTACATAAGCAACCCAAAGATCCGCGCCAACTCCACTCATATTTTAATTGCAATTTAAAGTTTCGATTTACATTGTTCTCGGTGGTGAAGAAAAACATTACAAGGAAATTTGCATATCTGAAAAAATAAAAATAAAATTTCGGAAATGATTTTAGGTCCAGGTATGTGAAGTCGGTCATGCCGCACTCAATCAACTCCTTTTTGTCCTAAAACTGGCTATAGCCTGTGTCCAGTGTTGGGATGTGTCTAGGCTACTACTTTTTTACTTTTAATATGGCTATCCACTTCTGATCATACGCTTCCCCATTGTTTGTCAAATAGATCGGATATTTGCATTAGTATTCACGCTTGGTAAGTGGGTTGGCAACCTCAACTTATTGTTATTTTGCGCTGTTATCAAGAAAATGCTGCCACAAATCTCCTGTTTCAGTTTCCCTCTGTCGCCTCTTCTAACACCCACGGGATGAAATACGGTAGCGGTTTCTTTTTCGCCACCTCTACATGACTAATATATTTTACTGCCGTTCATTAATTGGATTCCCCCCCACAGATTGTTTTGCCGTAGTAGCCACGCTTGGCGTACGAGTTGCCAACTGCATAATTTCATTATTTTGAGCTATGATCAGAAGACGCTACTGCCGATCTTCTATAGATTTCTACTCCCGGATTTTATGGTGATAATCAATACTCAATGGGGCCAGTATTATAGAGACATACAGACCATGAAATTCAATATTATTTTGTCGGAACTACGAGTATATCAACTTTAATTATGGATTTTATGTAAATAGCGCATTTCTGATTCCAGAGCAATTTCCCCTTCATAAAGACACCTCAGAAGACGTGCCCGATGGAGACGTATGATATTAATGCAGTTCTGATAAACTCACTCATGTGTTTCTGTAATATATAATATTGCCAAATTTCAACCATATCCTACGTCCCATATAGACAGATACAGACGTGTCACTACAAGCGAACCGATTTTGCTAATTTTAAACCCAGGACCTCATGATCAGCAGTCGCACTACTACAACCACTAGACCAACAAGGCAGTTTAATAACCGTTGCGTTAAAGGGCCCGATCACAAGAGAATCACGCCGGTACTTGGTTGGGTCTTTTTATAATTTCGTCATAGTCCCTTGTTGGTACGTCAACCTATTTATAGTAGGAGTCATTCTCCCTTAAAGATACTCAACGTATGTGGTAGAACAACACTACGGTTATATTATAATTGTAGCACGAATGGGTCGACTTAACCGGAAAAGCACTCTTACAGAACACCACTGAACAACAGCAGCTGAATGCTGCTGTGTTTCGTATGGTGAGCTTAGATAACCAGAGACCAGAGACGTTTACTAGAAACGAGGCGTTCCATCTCAGTCCTCAGAGGCAAGAACGCATCTACATTTTTAAGATTTTAATAGAGGATGAGGAGATGTCTTTGGGCCACAGCATTCATTTACATGTGTGCTCGTTTGTCACTCTTTCTCTATAAAAAAACCACCTTTGGAATATGAGACACAGGTGAAACAGTGTCGACTTTTGAATCAAACTACTTTAAGACACAGTAAGTTCGTTCTGCGTAGATCGGACCAAAAGTTATAATTAAAAGCTGAAGGTATTCTGGGTTAACTCTGACATCGGGACGTCAGTCACCTCAGTCCCCTGTGACCATGTGCTGGAAAGCAGCCGAGTCGTCGGAAATTAAAAATAATTACAATTATTCCCAGAAATCGTTATTGTCCACTTTTGGTCACTTCAAGCCCTACCTAACTCCTTTCGATTTTACGAGGCAAGGCACAACATATAACAGGCGTTACCCCAGAAAAATGCCATTCATCATTAGTCGAAAGGCAGATTCGTATGTATGCATGCTGATACGCCTTCCGTACTCTAAAATAGTAGGCTATCTCTTTCTTTAAGACATTTTTTTTAATTTGGCAAGAATCCAATTATCATATTGGTTTTATAACCCTGAACTCCAATGGCTGCACCGTAAACATTCCTTATCGTGTACATATATTGGATTTACTGTTATTCTTTGTTTTAGTGTATCCATACGAAGCCGGGTTTAATAGCGGTTTCGATGTTATACATCAAAATATACAAACGAAAACGTTTGAATCATTTTGAACATTGTGTAAATGTTTGCCTGGAATTTTTATAATTACTCTCTTAAATAATAAAAATTATAACAGTAACTAAGTTTTCAGATGGATGTATTTTGAATGACAAAGTATCCAGTTTAAAGAGATATTTTTTTTCTATTCTAAGCCAGCGCTTAACTACAACCCCTCCTGATGGTAATTGGTGATATAGCCAAAGATGACGAAGCGCACTTACTTAATAATAATAATAATAATACGAAAAGGCGTAGGGAAGTGAGATCGTCGGTGCAGTCAGTCAGCGCCTTGCCAGGAGGTGTGAGCGCCGTGCCTCGGCAGTACTCAGGGTGCAAAGGCCCGTTTGTGCTTACGGCCGTACAATGATACAATGAAACGGTGCCGGGCCTGGGCGTCTCCCGTTAATTGGCGCCCAAAAATGGATGATGGATTTTAATAGAAAGCGTATAGGGCCGCTGCCTGGGGGTCGCCGGGGCGCGTCTGGAGCTGGCGCTGGACGCGGCAGCATGCGGGATAACCTAGCAGCCTCCCGCATCCATCATCCCCACCAGACGGCTTGATGTCGGCAGGGTTCTCTCCGACTCGGCAAGCGGCATCCGCCGCTGGTGGTGTGCGCCACATGCATTGGACAAGGAATATGAACGCAAACGCATTGCGGGCGTACTGTAGGGCGAAAGGAAAGAAACTGCAGGGATAGCGTATCGGGCTCGGATGCATTGCTTTTTTGCTGAGCTGGAGCCGTCTATTCCCGTCACGGAACAAAACCTGGCAGACCGAGTTCGGTACATCATGCGCTCGAAAATATTTAATGATGCCGAGCTCGAACGACTACGACGTGAGGCCATTCCTTCATCGAATGAATTGGCTACGGCTGGGGATGCGGCTCCTCAGGCGACAGACCAGCTACCACGCGTAGAAGCCGCCATGGATCTTCCAGTTGTGGTTGATCTGGACGATGATGAAATGCTCTCCCACGAACTAGAGCAAATGAGGAGTATATTAGAAGAGACGATTTTGGAAACGCGCAGCATGCCTCCGAAAATCGACCGCGACTTCCCCCGCATACCCCTAAGCAAGTGAAATCGGGCTGTCGTGAGGGCTCTTAACCCAATGCTGGTAACCTATTTGGAAGCCAGCCGGGACCTTTGCGAGACGGACTCAGATCTTTTTGGCGCCGCAGTGGCAGCTTGCCGTATTATTGGCGCCAAACTTCCCATGGCTGGACGCGCTACTAAACAAAGTAGCGCCATCCCAGCTTAGAGAAAAAGAATTAAGGACCGTATTGCAAAGGCAAGGGCCCTTATCGGCAGACTGACAAGCTTCAGGTCGGGTAATAATAGACCGAGGGTACGCACCGTTAGAATTGCGTTTGCTGGGACAAATATCAGTTTGTCCCAGCCGGATATCACGCAGAAACTAACGGAGCGCATAGACGACCTGAAGCAACAGATCGCTGCTTGGGGGAAGCGAATTCGCCGATTTACCGAGAGGTCAAGGCGGTCCAACCAGAATCGTCTCTTCCAGAGTGATCAGAAAAGGCTCTACAAATCATTAGAGCGACCAGAGGTATGTGGAGCGGGCCCAGGGCCGGATCAGGCTAACACTGTCACATTTTGGCGTGGCCTGTGGTCAGAGCCCGTAAACCACAGCGAGGGCCCTTGGACGGAAGTTGTGGCGAGTCAGTGTGCGAGTATTACGCCCATGGACCCCGTCATCATAACGCCGGATGACGTAGCTGAGGCGGTCCGTAGAGCCCCGAACTGGAAAATCCGGGACTCGACGAGTCGCATCACTACTGGCTGAAGGGGTTCGTGGTGTGTCACGCTGTGCTCGCCCGTCAGTTTCAAGAGGCTCTCAACCAGAAGTCGCTCCCTAGCCTCTTCACTACTGGGATCACTCATTTGGTACCTAAAGACCAGGTTACCACAGGCCCGAGCAAATACCGCCCCATTACGTGTCTACCCACCATATATAAGACACTGACATCCATTTTGGGCGCGAGAATCACTCGTCACCTGGAGCTAAATCAGGTGATGTTACACGCTCAAAATGGATGACGGGGGGGATGGTCGTGGAAGTAAGGAACCATTCCTCATTGACGCGGTCATTGGCAAAGTGGTGAAACGCAACCGTCGGAACTTCTCCGCCGCCTGGATAGACTACAGAAATGCATTTGACTCGGTGCCCCATACATGGCTAAAGAGAGTCCTCGAGCTGTACAAGATAGACTGTACAGTGAGAGACTTCCTCGAATAGTGTATGGGGCAGTGGAGTACGATCCTTTGTTATCTGGGTGAGCGGATGATCGCTGCGGAGAACCACATAAGGATAAGAAGGGGTATCTTCCAGGGCGATTGTTGAGTCCAATCTGGTTCTGCCTCTCTCTGAACTCTCTCAGTACCTTACTGGTGGGATCCGGGAGGGGATTTCAGCTACGGAAAGGAGGGACAAAACCCACTTTTTCTATATGGATGACCTCAAGTTATTCGCCACTAGTCGCTCCCATCTTATGGAATTGCTAAAAATCACTTATGAATTTAGCAATTCCATTGGAATGGAGCTGGGGACGGATAAGTGTGCGGTCCTCTATGTTGAAAGGGGAAGGGTTGCTAACTCTGAGGACATAGATTTATCTATGCCCGTCAACTAAGGACCCTTTCCGAGGCTGAAACATACCGATACCTGGGTATGTCACAGAACATCGGTATCGATGGGACTGGTATGAAACAGTCAGTTTGCGACGTGTTTTATGCACGCTTGACCAAAGTGCTTAATAGCCTTTTATCCGGTGTGAATAAAACACACGCATATAACGGTTAACAGTCATGCCTGTCCTTATGTATACCTTTGGCATACTTAGGTGGACTCAGACTGAACTTAACGCCCTGGATAGAAAAGTTCGCACTACCAATGCGTCCCATAGGATACATAATCCGAGATCGTCGGTAATGAGACTGTACTTGCCGCGAAAGCATGGTAGGCGTGGCTTTCTGAGCGCGCTCACCATGCATAATCGTGAAGTGTGCAGCCTCCGTCATTACTTCTGGCGGATGATCCATTCTATAATGACGTCATTTCTAGTGATAAAGGGCTCTATCCTTAGCCAACGAGCAATGGCAAGACCCAGTAGTGCTTAGCATTTTCGACCGGGAGGCCGTATGGAAGGAGAAGGAGCTCCACGGGAGGTACTACAGGGCTCTACATGAGCCCTTCTTAGATACAGTCGCCTCCCTCAACTGGCTACGTTTCGGTGACCTATTCGGGGAAACCGAGGGTTTTATCTGTGCAATACAGGATCAGGTTATTAAGACCAACAACTATCGGAGATACATCCTAAAGGATGGCACCATCGACATCTGTCGAGCTTGTCGCCATCTCGGTGAGTCGCTTAGGCATGTCATCTCCGGTTGTTCGGCGCTTTGTAACTCTGAGTACTTGCATAGACACAACCTAGTAGCCAGAATTCTACATCAGGAGCTCGCTCTGAAATATGGTCTCGTGGACCGGAAATTGCCGTATTACAAGTACTTGCCGGAAGCCGTGCTCGAAAACAACCGCGCCACGCTCTACTGGGACCAGGCCATCATCACAGACAGGACTATTCTTGCGAATATGCCTGATATTATGCTGATGGACCGGGCACAGTCAAGGATTTTTTGGTCGACATTACCATTCCGTATGACGAGAACCTCGTGAAAGCCGAAACAGATAAGCGAACAAAATATCTGGACCTGGCTCACGAGGTGACTGACATGTGGGGTGGTCTGCCGGCCGAAATTATTCCTGTAGTCGTCTCTGCGAACGGGCTAATCCCAGTCAGACTCTCGGGTCATCTGAGGCGACTGACGCACCGCTCCGGGCTCAAATACAAAAGGCGGTGCTCCTCGATACCGCCCGCATCGTCCGCCGGTTTCTTTCCCTTTCCCCCTAACCCTCGGCCGTTTGGTCTCCCCTGCCGAGGGCCTCCATCTGGTTGGGCTTTTATTTATTTATGTTAGTATATGAAATATATATTTATGTATAGTTATTTTTTCCTTTTATATATATAGGGCCACCCTAAGCTTCACCTACCGTTACCTCTTCCCATCGGTTGTCGGTTCTTCGACCTACATGGCCGGCCCTTGTTTTCTTTTAATCATTGGGTTATCTCGGTTACTTTGGTTCTACTGCGGATATCCTCATTTTTAAGTCTATCACTCAGAGAAATCTCGTGCATAGGTAGCCCTCTAAATAGCTCGCTGAGTGAACTTGAACTTGCTCAAATGGCCAGCAGTGAAGGACCACGTCGCAGATACATAAGTCATCACGGGCAACATACACTGTTTGTACTACCTTGTTTTTAAGTTTTAATGTATACCTGACGAGAAGATACAGTTTAACTTACACGTGGTTTCTTTGCCACAGAACAAAACAAAGATCATGTTTACATGTTTACTAAGCTCGAAGTTGTTGACGAGTACGTTTACCTGGGACAAATAGTCCGACTAGGTAAGTCCAAGTTCGACTAAGAGGTCAATCGCCGGATTCAACTCGGCTGGGCAGCATTCGGGAAATTACGACACATCTTCTCGTCAAGTATGTGTCAAAACCTGAAAACTAAATTGTACAACTAGTGCGTGTTGCCAGTGATGACCTATGGAACTTAGACGTGATCCTTCGCTGCTGGCCGTATGAGGATGCTCAAAGTCGCTCAGCGAGCTATGGAGAGGGCTATGCTCGGGGTTTCTCTGCGTGATAAACTTAGAAATGAGGATATCCGCAGTGACCGACATAGGCCAACGGATTAGTAAGGTGAAGTGTAACGGCTTTGTACCAGTCCCCCGATACCCGTTTAAATCCCAACATAAATTGAAGAAAGTGTATATAGTAGGCTTAGGCCTCTCCAGCCCTGAGTATTTCTAGTACTTTATCATATTTTTTCATTATATATATATATATATATATATATATATATTATATATTTTTATTGATTAATTTCGTTTTAAGGGATTAAATTACAGATCTTTGATTGGTCTTCAATTCTTGGTATTGAAATTAGTGAAAAACTGTAGAACGTTGTGAAAATCAATTACTATCAAAACTTTTATCTGTGTTTAAATTTTATATTCAAACTTCAGTGTGTGTGCACGGCGAATGACAGTGAATTAGTTGTGAAGTGTTTAAATCTTTGGTGAAGTGTAGAAAAATCTTCAAGAGATTAATTAAGCTAGTTACTTTGTATTATAACATAATTGTACATCTAAGAAAATCTTTTCAATCATTGCACCTACGCTTATCGAACAATATACAATAACTCGTATTACAAGTTACTTCATTGGACACCTCTAATTAACATTTTATTTTTAACTACTACTATAACTAAGTTTCTATTATTACGTCCCGCTTTACGTTTTTGATTTGTGTGATTATTTTATTATTTCGTCATGACTGACAAGGAATCTACGATTGAATCTTGAACAGGGAAATATTTTCAAATTGGCGTATTTTTAAAATTCATAAAGCCCTTCGACGGCTCCTGTGAAAAGTTAAATTATTTTGTGCCGAATTGCGAAAACGCAATTAGTTTAGCTCCTGAATCCCAAACACATTATTTTATATGAATACATCCTTTCATAACTAGAGGGAATAGCTGAGTCATCGGTTGCCGGTTCAATTAATTAAGTTGGTTGCAATTAAGTTGACATTTTTTTTTGAATTAATTAATATGACACATGAGGCCAGTTATGTCAATTTGTTTAAACACAGTTGAGACCTACAACACAGCTTACTGACCTACGGGAATATTGCCAATTATTAAACGAACCAGTTAATCAATATGCGCTTCACTTAGATACATGCTTATTCAATTTTTTTTATAGATGTAACTTTGTCACATAAAAGACCAAACTTGTTTTTCAATACTGCGCATCTTTTATACCTAACGTTTGTAACTAGAAAATATGTACTACGGTACGAGTAATCGCTACAGCTGGCTATTTCATATAAGATGTTTCTTATTGCTAGGACTCGAAGTAGGAACTTTAGTAGTGTTCGGATTTAGGATAATTAGATTCTGGTGTCTCTGACTCACAATGATAAGC